GCCCTCCCCGGTTTAATTCTCTTCGCAAATGACCCATTCCTCGTGACCTCTTAGGTTTTAGGTTCTCTAATCCTTCTCAAAGGTCAGGTTCTAATCTCTAAAAGCAGGTCTGCTCTGCAGCAGGGAAAATTCTACAGTGTTACACTGGATCTATAATGCAGATATATATAGATATAGATAAAATGCAAAAGGCAAACTTCACCTGATTTTATTATGTGTTTGCAGGCCCACAAAACTCTGTGTCCAGCCAAAAGATGAGCACTAGATCAATTTAAATTGTTCATTTATTGCAATTTTATGACATTGTGACTACATTCTGGCTGTGCACTGCTGAGGAAATCTTCTGGAATGCCTGAAAGTTTCCCCACCCAAAGTGTGCTGCCCTGTAACTCACTATTTACTGCCTGTTTTAAAACAGCAACCAGTCTGCAGGAGCCAATGGAAAAGTTATTTGTTCCCTCTCTTCACTGTCAGTGGTGGTACACAGAAATAATCCAAAAATGCTTCTAAATATTTTTTTTTAAGGATAAAAGGGAATAAAAAACTAAGGTATGTAAATCCAAGTGCATTTTTTTCAACTTCATTGTCTCAACTAGGAATTTTCTCAGTGGACAAATGGGAAAATCTTGAGTGCTCAGCTCATGAAAATTCTAACTATATGAAGGCAAACAATGTGATTTACACTCGCAGGACTGATTTGTTGTAAGCTTTTATGCTCCTGCATGTAGCAGTATTAGAATAAGTTGTAATTCTAGTTTGATATGTTGCACTGGAACTCAAAATAATGTACATAAGCCAGACATTTTGGAAAGTTTTTGATCTTAGAAATATGGTTATCTAAGAGAAGTCTATGGCAGAAAGTATCACATCCTCTCAAAACAAGTGATTGTTAGCATGCCTATAATTCAAACCTTGTATTGTAACACATCATGAATTGTAAATTTAAACTTTCATTTTCTCTGGAACACTGGATTAACCACTTCTCCGTTTATGATTTAAAGCTTCGTGTCTGTATACAACCCAAATGAAGATCACAGAAGTGGCATTTGTCCCAGTGATTCCTCCCAATCTGTCTAAAACCATCTGGTTTTCCTGCATGTTCCCTTGCACCCAGGAGCTCTGACTCTGACAGCAATGTATTCCTAATGCTGATGTGTGAAGAACTAATGCAGCCATTTGGATGCACACTTTGCTATCGAGGTGTCGCTGCCATCCATCACGCTGGCCCAGATACCATTGAGCAAAAACAACAGCCAATACAAATGCATCACGACAAAATGTTATATTTATGGTTTGTGTACATGCATAAGTCAGCTGCAAAACCATCTCTGGCCTCCACTCAGGATTCATTTATATGGATTGAATCAGCTTCCGATCGTTCATGGTGAGATTGGCTCCCAACAGAAAGGCCTAGGGATACAGAGCCTCCCTACCAGAAATACAGAAGCAGATTTGTCCTCAGCTAACAAGGATATTTGCATGGGGTAGCTTCTAAAATCACAAAGCTTTCTTTTGCATTAATACAGTTTTTATTTTGTATAAGGAACCTTTCAAGGTCTCCTCTGATATTCCTAAGCAATGGCATATTGAAGACTTTTAGCTCAAGAAATCCTTCCTCTCATGAAGTTCTAAGCTGCAAATAGTTGGATGCAAAGAGAGAATTACCACTGCATGTTTGTCCATTTGCTATACTCTTCCCCTGACATTCATGTTCAGCCACTCCTGACGACAGGGTGCTAGAACAGATAGATCATCATGCTCACACATTCTTATCCATTCATCAGTTTTCTAATTTCTGTATCTATGAGGCTTGCTCTCATTCTCTTGTTCTCAAAGAATTGTGTTTTTCAATTTCAATTTCAAACATTTTCAATGTTTGTCTCATTGTGTTTTTCAATAATACAAGTCAGTCACAAAGAATGATATTAAAATAATTTTTAAAAGCCGGGTACAATGATTTTCACACAATCTGGATAATACACAACTGCATGCCCCATTACACGTGTCTTACTCTATTTCTATTAAGTTTTCATAATTTAAAGCAGAAAAACAACTCTTGTACAGTGTTGCCATGTTTGGAAATGCCATTTGAGAATGAAATCTGGTGTTTAACACACTGTTCCTCTGATCCCTATAGGATTTTATGGCTTTGCTGCCCTCTGTTTATCCTTTTGGCAAGCCATCTGTATTTAGCATAAGTCCCTGCAATGTTTCAGCATGTTACCTCCTATATAAATCTCATTCTTCTCAATCATGCCAGACCCATCCATAATCTTCATGTGTTTTTATCTGTGCTCAGATCACTTCTTCAATCACACCACCATCCATGTGCAGCATTAAAATTCTGTTTACTCTCCTACATCACTATGAAATGAAACAAATAATGAAGAGACCAAAACAATCAGTGCTCTCCCAGTGGCAAACTGTTTTCATTTCCCCTCTGAAACAGTCCATTGATGCCAAAACCAGCACCAGCACGTTCCCCCTTCCTAGGCTTGAGGATGGCAATGACAGAGGACTGGGCAAGAGCTAGGTAAGATGGGCAGAGAGCTGGAGGAGATGAAACCAGCTGAGCTTTTACAGCAAATATTCACAGTATCCCAAGCTGCAGAAAGATCCTCTTTCTGCTGAGGAATGCAGCGAGCATTCCTCAATCTACATCCTGCTGCTAGGGAAAAAGTTTTCCTGAAGAAAATTCTAACCAAACAGCAAATGATTACCTGCATATACTGATTTTGATTCTAAGTAATAGAAACAGATGTGCCTTGAATTTTTATTCCTCACAATGTTATGCTGCTCATAAATACATACAATTTATTTTTCCCCCTTCTTGAGCAATAATATTCTTGTGTTGTAAAAAATGCACTTCAAGGAAAAGTGACGTTTTAAATGTCTAAAGCAAAAGTTTCTTAATGAGGAATGAAATAAAGCACAGGAAAAATACCATGCAAATGCCTGTCCAGTACAAAACTGAAACATGGTATGGCCATATTTTAGAATATAGATAAGATTATCTATATAATAAGATATATTAAGCATCTCTTAATACTGTTTATATATGTATTTTTTTTGAATACATGATTTAACAGGAAATGGACTGTGCTGATAAGAAACTGTTATTGATATCTTAGGTCAGTCAGTTATCCAGATATTAACTGATTATTTCCTATTATAATGCATCCTCCACCAAATACCAGAAATACAAAAATCTATTATAATTTATGCAGTCTCCTTATAACTACGATAAAATAACTTTGAGAATTGTTTACATGGGAAGTATTAAATGGCTGGAAGTATTAAAATAAAATTTATCATTACAAATCAACAAGATCTTTAAAATATTTTGAAATCTGACAGAAGAGAAATAACAGTAGTGAATTAAAGGTGAAAGGGCATCTTGAATATAGTAGCATTTGTCTCCAACATGATTTATAGACCCAGCCTGCAACATGATAGCAAAAAAATAAGGTTTTCATGGAGGTGCCTGAGGTCTACAAATCTCATTACTGTCATTTCTTTTCAATCTCTTAAATTTAATAACATTTATTTTTAAAGGACAAAACAAACGTTGACACACATATCCAAAATAGCCTATATAGCACTGTCTTCAAAGTATGAACTTCTTATGTACCCACTCTAAACCTAAACAAATTATTTATTATATAGATACAAAAAATATTCCTCTAAATGCTGACATTTCTGTTTTAAAGTAAGATGCTTTTTTATGCAAAAAAACCCCCCTCAACAAATGGAATTGAATTTATTCACCAGGAGTATCTCTAAGACACAGTTTTAGGAAGTATTTTCAACTTGATCTACAACATCTAAAATTTATGTTCCAGCTTAAAATATTACATTCGAACTTATGTTATCTGAGAGGAAAAAAAAAATACAAAACCCCACACCAATGTTCTTTAATAGCTGGCAAGAGGAATAAATGTTTTAGGCCTAGAGATATGTCAGCATCTGTAATATAGTATGTAATTTACTATTTTGTTCTGTAAAACATACCTTGCAGATGCAAACCATTTAAGGTAAGAAAGAGATTAGCAAAGAAAATAAACATTCCTTTATTAGGTAAATGATGCCTTAAAGAGACTCTAAAATAAACTCTTTTGTGTATGTTGTAAAATGAAATGCTAAGAAACAAGGCCAAAAATCAGAAGAGAGGTTATAAGTATGTTCAGACATCTGTCTTTATGTATAAATTCAAGTTTGAAGTAGGGATGATGTTAGAAACAACAGACAAATTGATCCAATTGTCTGACACGGAGCAGGTACGTGCAAAAGTCACAAAAGTTAAAATAGTGTTCTCCAACATCCCATCTGTTTTTATGATGATTAAAATTACTATTGAACTTGATATTGGCATAGTAAAATTGGCACAGCTCGCTAAGGGATTTCTGCACATGGGTAATAAGCATTCTCATCCCTTCAGGTCCTTCACTATGACTATCAAAACTGCAATTCTTCAGAGTAAATTTGCCAGAGGCACCTTTTCTACAACATTAAGAACATGGAGACAACACACAGCCTCCTTTTATGATACTGTGGAGAGCAGCTGTGTCTCATGTCCCTGGGAGGCAGACTGGCTGAACCACTCAGAATGTCCCAGGGAATACTGCTGTTTATACTATTTGCATTTCTCCATCACAAATTCTATCTTTAAAGCACTGATGCAATTACTATTCCTTTCATTCACATATGATGAGATACAGACAATAACCCCATGGCTTGGTCAGTCCCTCCAAGCTCGATGTAAGGAATCAACTCTTAGTAGACTTTAATTTGTATTCTTGTGGAAACAAAAAAGAGAAGACCAGTAGGACATTTTATTTTTCAATGTGCTCAGTTTTAAATATCAATGTATTGGTATTGTATTCAATTGCTCAATTTTGGAAAATCTCCAGGAACTTATTTTGTTTTTTCAAGGAAATGAAATTATCATATAATATGTAATCAACATTTCAGTACGTAGCATTAAAAATACAAGTACTCACAGTAGCATGTTCCCCTAAGTGGATTTCCAAGATACCTATTTTCAGAGTCACAGCTGCAGGGGGAAAAAAAAAGACAAAACCAAACATTGCCATTAAACACAACACAGATTTAATAAAAACACAGCTAGATTATTTATTCAAATAGCATGGGTTTCAGTGCAAGCAACACAAATACATGCAAATAAGAAGTATTTAATATAGTTCTTAATGAGGGTGTGCTACTTTCTGGAGGCACCTCTCTGTCATATAAGAAACCTAGACTGACCAGGCTCTTGAATAAAGATCTTCAGTCACCTGCCTAAAGTTGGTGCCTGCTGTAGGACTCAGGGTTGAAACTCTGGTCTCTCTGCACTCTAATGAGCAAAGCAGAGGCAGGGAGCCATCCCAAGGACTGGATCTCCTTATCCCTGTCCCCTCAGTCACAGCTGATTCCCTCCCTGGTTTGGATCTGGCACAGCAGCATCTCAGCTACTTCAGAGACACCTGCTGCTCTTCACTGACCACCCAGGGCAGCAGGTGAAATTCAAACTGAGTATGATGTACTGATGCTGCTGACAAGATGTGTACATGATAAGGGCTGGAGAAACAGCTTTCTTACTGATAAGATGTATAGCTATTTTCAGAGACATGAAATAGCCTACAGAAATTCAGTTCAAATTCAGTTATATAACATTACTCTAAAAATGCCAAATATCTTAATAGAAAAGGATTAATCTGCTTTAGGTTTCCTTGGCTATTTCATGGAAGTCTCCAGCAAGATTACAATTTTCTCTTAAATATACAGAAAGATTCACAAAACAAAGAGAAAGCTAATCACTGCCTATTAAATTTCATATAAATATTTTCCCAGAGGTAATCTGAATCATTTAATATCTTGGACTATCTTTTCATTACTTTATTCTAACAAACTTAATTTGGAATGAGGTATTTTTGCTGTTATTTTATTTGTGATTGGTATTAAAGATACATTCTAACTTGGATGTCATATCATTTAACAAGTTTCAGAGTTTAGAATATTTTGATGTTTGTATTTTTGCTGGTTTCCTTAATAGTTTCTAACTGGTGATTGCTAACATACTCATTTTTATTAAAAAATAAGCAGAGAATCTTCTTTACCCTTTGTTACAATACCATAAAGAAAATAATCAGCAGTAGCAATAAAATGAAGAAGTAGAAAAAAGATGTTCTGGACTCTGCCCTTGTGCACTCCTGATCCCACATTAGAGTGAGAGCTCTTTCCAGGGTCAACTATATAGAAATTCAACACTTTTTTAATATAATAATTTTAATAATTAATCTCCAAGAAAACAAATTCCCCAGTGCTTCAAGTCTAACTGCAGAACATAATTTGTGGTCTTCTTCACAAAGACACTCTACCCTACAGTCCTTTCCACAGAATTTAGAAGAGAATCTGATCCTGAAGTAACTCTCTTGGATGTACTTGGAAAGGAGAAAATCTCTCAAGTAATAACATTGGTCTGCCTGACACAGTTTTTTTCTAAACATCACAAAACACTAACAGCATTCTACAAAGAACAGCTTGCTACTGAACAATAAAATATATATTCATGTATGAAAGGGCCTTTAGGTTTGGAATTCTGAAAGAGAGATAAGGGAAAGGGACCATTTTCAAATCAAGGGTTTAAAAGAATTCCTTCCCTTTTCTTGTATGTAAGATTGCCACATAAATGAGGCAGTATATCAGGTAGCAAATGATTATAACATGATAGAAGTTATTGTAAGAGGACTATTTTTTCTCTTGAATTGTTTCAAATGCAAAGTAGATTAAATGTGGCAGTATTTAGAATATGCTGGGGTTTTATACCTGAAGGTAACAAATGTAAAAAAAAAAACTCTATTTAGAGTCTGAGGAAGAAGGCACAAGACTTCCCCTGCTGCTCACTGCTAGTGGCACTGACCTGAGTATGACATGGAAAAGCAATATCCAACTCTCAACAACAATAACTTTTCCATGGGGAGAAAATAAAAAAATTCCTCTCTGAACTCTTGCCCAGTCACAGCATTCACCTGTGGTGCTTTGACCCTGAGAGTAAAGGTTTGGTTTTTGTTTTTTAATCTTGAAAATCTTAATGAAAAAAGACAGCTGTTTCCATACAGCTTCCCTTCTCCATTCAGCTTCCGTCCTAATCAGATGAAACCATCTCCCGTGGATCAATAAGTACCAGAACCCAGGGATTTCCAGCATCACATATACATTCCTTGCATTTTTATTTCTATTTTTAGCACAGAAAAAACCCAAACACATTAAATAAAAATATCTATTAACTCGATCTAACATAACACAGGCTTCACAAGAACATACAAAAGAATGGTTAATACAAAAATTACTAGGTTCTAAATATTTTGCAACACACAAGTATTCATAAGTATTCATTCAAATCCAAATAATTAGCAATTCCCTGACAATTACAGAAGTGACCTTCAAAAATCTTGAAAAGAAAATGGCAGTGCAATTTTCCAGCTGTTTCAGGTATTTCAGCATCATGTGCAGTGGAATGATAAAATATGCACTACAAGAACAGAAGAGTGAATGACACCACGGCAAAGCATTTTGATGCATTATCATAGATGTTATCTCTCTGTGCTGGGAGCCTCATGGAAGTACTGAAGGAGGGAGTGATTCTGGGCAGGAGGCAGCCCTGGTGGGTGTTATGTTATCCCAGAGAAGCTCCCAGCCTGCCAGGAGCAGGCACACAGCTCAGCCTGGGCACAGGATAAAAGGCACTGTGAGATGTGAGGGAGAAGGAAATCTCCATGGACAGCACCTGTACACAGAGGGAAAATCCAGGTTCATCCAGTGCTGCAGGCACACAGGAACCCCAGTAACTGAAGGGGCATGAGATTTACCTGTTATCTCTGCTCTTTTTATGCCCTCTCATTAAAACAGTTGGTTTATTACATCATTTGTTGCCAGGCCTTTCATGCAGAACACTTCCATAATGTATATCGGGAATAACATGAGGTGGAGTTTTTACTAGTTATGGAAGCCTGTTTTAATTCAAATGGAAGATACTGCTTAAACACTTGGTTTTCAGTGGAGGGAAAAAATGAAACTAATAGGATTAAGAATATATCTGAAATTATTCACACGAGCATGTATGCTGGGTTTTGATTAAATTTAGTTTTGTCTTTTAATCCTCTCCTATTTTATTAGCATACATATTGCTCTGCATTAGTCACTGATTATGGTTCCAATTACAAAATTTCCTATTCGCTGAATTGTTTCCTTATGAGCTTTACTCATTGTAGTAATTTTTGTACCTTTTCCAAAAGCCAGCACACATTGGACCATATGTGAAGCATAATATATGCCTCATATCTGAGAAATGGGAGCTACACTCATTATTTTATGTGCCACAGGGCCATGATCATTTGCTTTAAGTGGTCATAATGAATGAGCAGTTCCACTCTGGCAGGACTCCAAAGACACAGCTCCCATTTACAAGGACAAATGGAGGAAGGCTCCTATTAGGTTACGTACAAGTTCTATGGTTTGTTCCAATACAAAAGTGTTCAATTCATCAAGCTCACTGACCTTTGGGTGGCCTGCTATTAGCACTTATTTCCCAACTTCTCCCTCAATTATCCTTTCAAAACTGAACCATTTTCTTTCACTTTCTTTTTATCTCTCTGGATTTTCTGGAAGTTCAGCATAGAAGTTATTGACAAATGTATTTAAAAAAATAATTGTTCTCACGTTTCTGACCAAGATAATTTCTCACTTTCTCTTTAAATATAATAAATGTATGTAAATGATGAGTACATGTTTACAGTAAGACTACCAGATTTGGGTTGGGTTTTTTTTAATGAATGAAAGGCTTCTTTGTAAGACAGAGTTAACAAACAACCTTTTGTTGAAGCTTAGCAATGTGTATGTTCTTGTGCTCTGTACCTTGCAGGCTTAAAAAAGCAAAGGAACAGACAGCAGGGCAATATATATTTTTATATGCCTAATTTTATTGTTCTTATTGGTATGTCCCTTAAGGAAGGGCTCCTTCAAGCTCCTCACCTGAGGAAGACTGTCAATATTGCACCAACCTAGATTGACAGCTTTCTAGACAAGTGATTTGATCACATGGAAACCTTCCTAAAACAGTTCATTTAACCTTTCATGGTGAAGGTAGAAGTTTCTGTAGTTCTGCTGCTGCCACTAATTGTTAAATCTTTCCTTTCAATTAAAGCTGAAGCAAAAAAAGAGGAAGAGGGGAAAACAAACCTAAGCACAGCCAGACTTTCTTTTAGCTGAGTTTGCTTTTAATACCTAATTCTCAGGGAAGCCCACTCTTAAAGACAATATCATTTTATTTAACTGGTTCCTTACTGACAATCTAGTTCTGGCTCAGACCAAGGCTTGTCAACTATACAGTTATAGCATATTATATAATATAGATATTTATGACCCTTACCTCATATTTTCTCCTTGAAAATTAAGAGACCACTTCCACAGTTTCTGGGGAAGAGCTGTCACCTGGCTGATCTATAGCTGGTCATAAACAGGTTTGGGATTTTGCCCAGGTTCCCAGCATTGCGTCTACAAGAGCCTCACAATAAATTAGTCTGCTTTAGCAGAGTATTCCTAGTCCTGGAGTGATTAGTTGCTCCAGCTTTTGGATGAGTCAGAAGAACTTCCAGGACTCCTGCTCACCTCTGTCCTAGCCTACTCCTCATGCTGTTTTCTTCCTACCCAGTGGTCTTGCTGCTGCTGTCCTCCATCACCGATTGCTGCTTCTGATCCCTTTGTCCTGGTTCCTGATCTTGCACAACTTGCTCTTGGTTTTATTCTACTTTCCTGGTTCCAACAGTGGTATGATGCTATTGGGGTTTTGAATAGTGAAATACTATTCACGTAACAAAAAACTGGTTATTTGGGGCACCTTGTAACTGAAGTTCAAACAATATTTATAAGACTAAACAAACCTAAGACTTCTCTAGTCCCATGGTAAGCCCTGTGGCATCCTAAGTGGATATGAAGAATTACTCCATACTACTATATATTACTACATCCTCAGCATTGAAAATATGTCCATGCTGT